CTTTCACATTACAAATCAAGGCAAAAAAGAATTGTCAGCATTTTGTTTAAAGGCTGGGAAGTGTATTACAATTTTTGAAACATGCATATATAATAAAAATTTCACCTAGAATACCTCATTTTCTGATTTTTATTTATTTAACTTTTATCTTTTTGAGACACAGTCTCACTATGTAGTTCAAACAGGCCTTGAGCTCACTCTATAGCTCAGGTTGGTCTCAAATTTGGAATGATTCTCCTGCCTCAGCCTTCCAAGTGCTGGGATTCCAGGCATGCGCCACCACACCTGGGAAGAATACCCCATTTTCTGAAGATGCATCATTATGGTATTTATATTTAGTAGAGTGCTCAAGGTAACATTATAAGAAGCATGTGTATATTTAAGGAACATGGTAAACAAGCTGATAAAATTTATTTATACTAAAGAAAATCCCAGTCTGTTAGGACTGACCTGGTGGGATTAGCTTTCCATACACAGATAAAGTCCTAACCCAGGTGAACTCCTATGACATCAGTATCAATGTAAGATCTTACTTCCATGAATACTTAGGTACTTGACCAACTCCAGGTTCAAGGGAAAGAGGAAGCCACACAAACAAAACACCTAAGAATAACAAAAACCTCACTGCCTCCTGGAACTTTTATTTCTCCTCTGAGGTAACTGGAAATACAGACAGCACAGTGCTATATTAGGGCACCATGCAAAAGCATCCATTTCAGCTCCTAACCTTGATAGCTGTTTGCTCCAGTGAAGTCTCACAAGGATAATTATCTTTAACATATCTGGCAATTCAGAAGTCTTCTCTTGAAGACGTCAAGCACATCTCACTAGTGTTAGAAAATTTAGCTCTTTAAATGCACAATTTGCTTCATCAAGTTACTCTTGTCTTTTTTTTTTCTTTTCTTTTGAGACAGGATTCAGGATGGCTTTAAACTAGTTTGTAGCCCAGGCTATCCTAGAACTCACAGCAATCCTCCTGCTCAGCCCCCCAAATGTTGGAACTGCAGGTGTGCATCACTACACCTGGCTGCACCTTCTTGTTTATACTAAGTATAGCGTTGTAAATATACTTAATTAAGCAACTTGATCTGTTTCCTGGCGTTTTAAAATTGTCAGCTGGACCTTTTGTCATTTTGCTGTTTTTCACATTCTTGAAATACCAATACAAATAGAAATACATTTCCATTATATTTATCCTCCACTTCTGGTTTTCCTGGCTCTAGATTAACACCTGTATTCTTAACACTGATTCCCTGGGAGTCCGATGGAGCCCACTGGATTTTCACTGTCTCTCAGGCTTGGGATGGGTAACGACTGAGCTAGGTCTTTTCAGCACTCTTCCTTTGCCAGCTTCCCTCTCACTCAGGCTAATTTTTGTTTTAAATTTCATAAAGTTCCTCCCTTCTAGGACCTGGTCTTCACATGTCATCATTCTATTACTGGAAATCTGATTTTACTGTTTGTATGTCATAAATGATTTTCATTTTAACAGATGTGCCTTGACTTCTTCTTTGCTCTTTGAATGAAGACGAGGCTGACTCGGGCTGTGATAGATCCCGGCACCCAGCTGGGAACCTCATAGCCGACTGTGACAGGTGCCTGCAGTGGTTTGGACTCCCAGGCCACCAGGGCCACAAGGAAACTGATAAGTGGAAGAAAGGCCCCTACTGATCAGGTAAACCATTCAGAACTCTTATATGAGGGAAAATTAAACTTCTGTACACATATCATTTTGTATTCCCAAATAATTTATTGACTCACTCACATATACTCATCAAGCATGCACCATGGTCAAATCAGTGTGCTGTGTGCACAAGCAATGCAAAAATAAACTAGAGATTCTGTCTTCATCCAGTTTCCAGCCCAGAAGAAATAAACAGCCACCACTCATACAACTATAAGGCACTGTGTGTGAAGTTAAACCCTTAGAAGATAAAGAAATTACTAGAGGATTTAAAAGGAGGGAGATATACTCTCTGAAGGAGATTCAAAAGATTCAGAAGAATAAAATGATATTTAAATAGGATTTAGACAATAGACGTGTTTGTAGAAGCATTCCAATCAAAGACACAGAAGAGAAAGATGTTCACAGAGATTGAAATGTAAGTATTCTAGTTTTCCTGGAAAGAGGGGTTCAAATAAGGGTATTGTGAGAGCTCAAGAAATGAAAGACTGTTGTGAAATTCTAGATAAATCTGAATGTTGGTCAAAGTAGCGTCCTCCAACCACTGGAGGTTGTGGAACAGGGTGTGGCATACAGTCACTGGTCTGCTTTAGGAAGATTAATCTAGCAGAGATGGAATTAAGGAGAGACAGGGAGGCTATTAATACAGTGGTTCAGAGGGTGCCAGTAAGAATCCAAAGACTGCTAACAGACTGCACAGTGGAAAGTTTGGCGTGAAAAAAAGGAGTCAAAGATGACTCAGGCTAGGAACTAAGGTGAATAAGAAAATTACAGAACTATGAATTAAATTAAATTCAAAAAGAAGATGCTAATCTAGGGCTGGAGAGCAATAAGGTATCCATATCCAGTTTTAAATAAAATAAGTATAGGCTGTCTATTTTGGGGGAAGAAGGTGTCTGTGTGTAGTCCAGCTAAGCCTCATTATGTAGTCTAGACTGGCCCTGCGTCCACAGCAATTCTCCTGCCTCAGCCTCCCACACGCTGGGATTACAGGTGTATGCCAACACTGAAGATATCTAGTAGAGATACATTACTTGGATCAGAGTTAAGGAATTGAGACGGGCTATTGGGTTGGTTTGGAGATGAAAATGTGAAGCGTTATCTACTTACAGATGATAATTAAGGCTAGAAGTAGCATTAAAATTGACAAAGACCTTGACAGAAGAAAGCTGGATATTTTCTTAAAATACATGAAAGGCAAGAAGATAAAGAAAAAGCAACGAAGTGACTGAGGAAAAAGACAATCCAGAGGAACCAATATAGTAGGAGGCACTGGGTCATGTCTAATTCTATAAATCAGTAAAGAAATAAATTAACACAAGCAGGGCATGGTGGTACATGCCTGTGGTTCTAGTACTTGGGAGGCTGAGACAGCAGAATCCCTGCAAATTCAAGGCCAACCTGGGCTACATAATGAGTTCAAGGCTGGTCTGAACTACATGCTGCAACTGTGTCTCAAAAAAAGTTAAAAAAAAATTAACATCAAATAAACGCTCTCAACCCAATGAAACAGTTTCAGCCCATGATAAAGCAGACATTCAAATCCTACAAGGAACAAAAGTATTGGAATAAAACAAATCTGGATCTTAATCTTGATTCTGCCCCTCAATGGCTACATAATCATAGTTCTGGCTCTCATAGTACCCCTGACTCAGGAGTAAATTTTAAAACTCTTACGCCAGGCATGGCAACGTATGCCCATAATCCCACCCTCAGGAGGCTGAGGCAGGAGTATTGCTGCAAATTCAAAGCCAGCCTGGGCTATATAGTGAGTTAAAGATCAGCCTCAACCACATAGCAAGATGGTCTTAAAAAACAAATCTCTTTTAAGTGCTCAGCACGGTGACTAACATGTAATAAAAACTGAAGGAAAAGCTGTTGTTTAAATCAGTTTTAAATAATAATAAACATTTTTTCTTTACCATGGTCTGCTGATGAAAGGGTAAGTCAGCACAGAGTTTTTGAAGGCAAGATCCTAGCAAAATGTTTAATGTGTATACATCTGACTGAGCAAATATGCTTCAGGGAGAATTTGTTCTATAGAATGGCTCTTACGTGTAAAATGTTCATGATTGAATTGTTTGTAATAGTGAAAAACTGGAACCAATCTCAAAAAGAAATGGTTACATAAACTGATACATCTAAACTCTGAAGTACTCAGGCAAACTTAAGTAAATTCATAAAATATTCTCCCTATCTTGAGAAAAAGTGCGTGTGTAATTCCAGCACTCAAAAAGCTGAAGCAGGAGAATGCCTGTGAATTCGAAGCCACCCTGGGGTACACAATGAATTCAGGGCTAGCCTGAACTACATAGCAAGACTGTTTCAAAAAGAGAGAGAGAGAGAAAGCAATTTTTCCAAAGAACCCACATGATTCCATTCATGACCAAAATACAAAGAAACACAAAGATAACCCTAACAAGTTTTTAAAAAGTAAAGAAAGTAGTAGATAATAAAGATGTTATTCACCTATAATTCTACATACTTTAATGCTGTTTCAATGAAAAGTACCAATGTACTGTAATTCAAGAACTTTAAAAGGAAATGTTAGTCACGTATTTTTATGAAACATTACCGCACCATACCCATACATGTATCTCTATATAGGTATGTAATACATGCACCAAAGTTTAAAGACTGAGATTCTCGTGCTGTAGGGAATACCCTAAAATTGTTTGCATTTGTCTGGAAAGAAGCTTAGCTTCCATAATGTCTATGGCCCCCAAAAGACTGGAAGGAGGACCAGTACAAGAGTCTACAGAATAGTCTACCTGCATTTGCTGGTGGTGTATTTAAGCCCTAGTGAAAAAAAGTAATACACAAATTGTAGTTGGGTAGATCAGAAATGCTGCAAAGCAATGACCAGGACTAGGATATCTAATTAACAGGGTCAGGGTCTAAATTTCTGGCACATCTTGTTGGTTGTTAAGTATGAGAGAGATGCCTGGCAGTCAAAAGGAAAACCAACACATCTTCCCCTACCCCTCCCATTTAAGCTCTGGGAGAGATGGAGGGGAGACCTTGCAAGGCTCATGCAGTTAATGGACGGATCTGTTACAGAAGTTAAGTGTGAAGGAAAAATATTTTCTCCATTTCATCCCCAGCTCTGGTCTGGTCCGTCAAGTCCTCACGCATGCCGAGGGCTTTCTACCAGCTCTTCGCCCTCGAGTGCGCCCAGAGAACCCCCAGAGTGACCCCCCAGCCTGTCTGAGCTGCTTTCCCTCCGGAAGGCATCCTCCCCTTTCAGTCCCGACCCAGTGAGGTCTCTGGGCCCTCTCAGACCCAGCCCCCTCTGCTCCGGCCCTCAGGCACTCACGGTTCCCGCGGCTCTGCAGATGGAAGGGGCTTTGGAAGAGGCTTTTTCGGGTGCCTGCCCCGCGGCGCCACGGCAGGTGGTGGCTGCAGCGTAGCCAATGGAGGCAAGGTGCACCGTGGGAGCCAGCGGCGGCCGGGGGCCAAGCCGAGCCTCGGACCCTTCCCGGGCGCTGCATGGTGGGGCGGTGGGCGGCAGCCCGGCGGGGAGGCCGGCCGCGAGCTCGTACTGGCGCAGCTCTTGCGGGGAGCATGCTCTGCGGCTGGCAGCCCGGCGGCGAAGCCCCGGAGCGCAGCGTGCCCGCCACTCAGCCCCGCCAGCGGCTCAACGGCTGCTGCCCGGGGATGCCCCGGGCGCCCACCCGAGGCCGCCGTTGCTAGGAGCCTGCGGTCGCTCCTGCTGGGATCCGCTTGAGAGGCCGAGAGGCCAGTCATGCAAATGGGCCCAGGTACAGCACTGGGCAGAGTATGTCTGGGAGACTAGGCCACTAGTGCCCTCTCTTGTCAAGCCCTATAGAACGGTGTCACCCTCAAGATTACAGCTATGGGAGGCTGAAAGTGGGGGCAAATGCTGAGCCGAAGCCGGGTGGCAGTGGTCAGGAAGGCAGGGTGGGAAGGGGCTGCCCAACAGCTTCTATACTGGACTGTACCTGGAACTCAAAAAAGAAACCAGGCTGCCCTATGTCTCGATTTCTCTAATCCTGTATTAGTCCAGTTATCTCCATATAGGCAACAAAGTCAAATTCTTTTCCTTTGGGAAGTTAGATGTCCTTCCAGTGTGAAGCCTGGCACTGATTTGCACAGTATTAGACCTGGAATACAATACTGGTCCAACACTTGGATGTATGGAGGTGGGTGAGGGAAAGTTAAAACCCACGTGTAGAAACAGAGATACCTAACAAGCCTACAGCACACGCTCCTCACCTACCCCGACTCAAACTCAGGGTTACCAAGTGTAAAAACCCATGCAGGACAGTGTTAAGCAACATGTTGTGCTGCCTCTTTGTAAGGGGCCAAAGGCAGGGGCACAGTGGGGGACACGTGCCTAGCCTGCAAGCCCAATCCCTCCCCACCACTGGGGAAGCCATCTTCAGGGCAGGTACAGGGCCACTGCCTGTAATCCCTGCTACTTGGAAGCTGAGGTGGGATGATCACAAGCTGACCTGGGCCATTTCGTATAACCCCACAAATGCAAAGCAGCTGGGGATGCAGGTTCATTCTCCAGTACCTTAAAATAGTCCCCTTGGCTATTACTCCACTGCTTGCTACTTCACCTTTTCTCAAAAGATCCTCAGGTATCTAAATTTTGCCTTTGTGAAATGCTCCAGTCTACAGAGCATAAACTGCAGCCCCCTACTACACTCTATTACTGTCTACCATTATCTCTACACAATTTCTGAAGTTACATCATTCCATAAACCCAATTTCAGTCAACACTCCTCCTTACCAACATCCCCTAACTCCAGTGACTTCAATTTAACAGCAACTAGAAAATGCAAATTTTATTGTTTTTTGAGACAGCATCTTAGTATGTAGTCTGGGCTGGCCTCACATCACAATCCTCCTGCCTCCCAAGTGCCGGAATTAGAGATGTACCACCACCATCCTCAATCAAAATTTTAAGTCTACTCCTCTGATAGGTAGTAGCAGCACTGTCCTAAGTGACAGACTAGAGTTAAGTATCAAGTCCTCTAAGTGGTTAGGCAGAGCAACAGAAAAAGATTGAGGGGCTCAGCAGCATATTTTGCCTTCCTTGCAAGCAGGCAGTCATGTGTTCGATCCCTGGTACTGATAAAAAGGAAAAAAGACCAAAAAAAAAAAAAAAAAAAAAACAAGGTTGAGATTCCAAGAAATTCTATGACAAAAGAGGATCATATGAAGTTTGTTTTGAGACTAGCCAGCCAGCCAGAAATTAAGTCAAAAAATGGCCCAGAGGTTCCCAAATGCTCTCCTGGAACCAGTGCACAGTAACCTTGAGGCAACAAAAGGGACTTACTTTGTGGATCTTAAAATGGGGAGACTATCTTGGATTATTTTGATAGCCCAACATCACAATAATGGTGCTCTCACAAAAGGCAAGAAAATCAAAGACAGAGAAGCAGTTTCCATTTTGAAGATGCAAGGGAACATTCTCTGTAAACTTTGAAGTAACAAGGGCCCCAGCTCTACTAACACCATCAGACATTAAGACAAAGTATTTTAGCTACCTAAATTGTGGTAATAACTTGCTACAAGGGGATACATGCATTTAACAGCATATGCTGTATATCCGACACTGAAATTTTAAAAGATCTGGCCTTAAACTTTACCGAGAGAAGGGAACAACAGTGTTTCAGCTGCTTTGACAACCATCAAGAAAAGCAGCACAAAGAAAACTATCTGATCATTCTAGTGAAAGTGAGCTCCAGACATCCCAAAGCATCTATTCCATCCTGTACATCCCCCTAAAGCACTCACCTCATTATTTGTAATGTCTTGCCCATCAAACCCAAGACTATTACCCATTTTAACTATTGTACACATTAAGTTACACAACAAACACCAAGTAGCACTTTGTGTAACCTGAAACATTTAATCATTGAAGTCCTAGGCATGACTATTTCCATTACATTTATTGGTTCACATCAATTGCCTAAATGTGAACCCAAGCAGTCTGGTTCTAAAACCAGCCCCATTAACACAAACCACAAACCTTCAAAGATACCATTTCAACCACTGTGTAAGACAACTATTAACAAACACAGGAGAGTTAGAAGACGACCTAGGAAAAAGCTCCAACTGTGAAAGCACAGAAATGGAAATACAAATGAGGTAAAATTTTCAAGCCGTGTTCCTAAGACTTCACTTCCCCATCCTCTGGCTCTCTGATCCCACTGAGCCTTCTCAATTTTGCTAGGAACCACACTGTCCTTTAAAAAAAAAAACCAAGAAACAAAAAACCCTTGTTAAACATCCCTACCCTGTATAGGGTAACACTTCTGTTATTTCTATCCCAAGGAGGATCTCTTAATGTTTAATTCATTAACCACTCACACCTGACAGCAATGTACCATCTGCTTAACTATTCCCCAAACTAATTTTTCTGTTTTTTTTGAGACAGGATCTCCTTATGTAATCCAAAACTCACTGCAGTCCTTCTTCCTCAGCCTCTCAAGTGCTGGAATCACAGACATGTTGCCACCATGCCCAGCTTCACTAATGATGACCCTTGTTTACCTAAAATCTGGAAAGTGAGACTTGGCTTTAATGCCTTCTCTACCTCTCAAAACACTGCATACAAAGACTGGGGACTGCACCTTGCATTTACACAGTTAAAGACATTTCAAAATGTAAACTCTTTGGTTCCACCTAGTGATTAATGTACTGTTCTTATATTGAAACAGCACACACATTTCTGAAACAAAAATTCAAGCATAATTTGATTCATAATGTATCTCCTTGGTTTCTCCCCAGAAATCACTAACCTAAAGAAACTATAAAAAGGAGCTGGGGATTTAGCTCAGCAGCGTAAGTACCTGCCTTGCAAGTGCATGGTTGTGAGTTCGATCCCTGGTACCGGTAAAAATACAAAAAAATTTTAAAAACCTGGAAAAATAGCTTTCAAAACCATGAATAGAGAATTCAAAGAAATTTCTGACATTATTTGTATGGAAACTTCCTATTTTTTAAAAGCAACAAACTAATGGGCTTTGATGTAAATAGGGCTGTTGATATGATTGAATTCCCTCACGTTGACAATATTTACTACTACAGTTAACAAAAGGAAAAGACAGACTAACAAAAAAGTCACCAATACATTTCAGTTTGGAAGCAGATTTTTTATTAACTGACCAAATCATAAAAACATCATGGTAGATACCTGAAAGGGAAAAATAAACCTATTAAACAATCTGGAAGCCAAAAACTAACATATTTCCATTTAAAGCTGTAAGAGTTCAATTACATTTTAAAGGATATCTCAACTTTTAAGTAGACATGACAAAGGGGTGGGGTATGTTCCCTCCAGAAAGGTCTCCCAAAGGAGTAACTGAATCAACTAATCAAAAGCTAGATCCCTGTCCCCACCAAAGACTAATGAATACTTACTGGGGAAAAAAAAAATCACTTTTACCATTAAGACAACTCCTCTCAGGAGGCAGCATCTCACCTTAATTCATCCTTCTAATAAGCCTGTTGATCTGGTCTTCCCTGTTTCCGGCATCTCCACCTTCCACAAAATGGGTGGTCTTTTTCTTCATTCCACCTCGTGGAGAGGACAATTTGAAAGGCCACAGGAAGTTATTTGCCTCTTTAAAGCGTTTTCCAACAGTATAGATCTCATGAATTAGATCCTCCATGCAGATGATGCCATATTTACCTGAAAATTTTTAATGCAAGATGAAGCTTTAACAAATTTTCAACAAAAGGATTAAAATGAGTAAGGAATGGTGACCCATGCCTGTAATCCCAGTATCTGGGAGCTTGAGGCAAGACCACCATTGAGTTTGAGGCCAGTCTGAATTGCATTGCAACACTGTCACAGAAAGGTGAGTTAATGAAGTGAAGGACAGGTTTATAATAGTTTAGAGGACAGAAAACATCACCTTGATCTATCAAAGGTTCTCTGAACAAACAGAACCTACCAAGAGATCGAGCAATCAATGAGTTATCTGTCAAGGCAATTCGCTTCTTATTGATTTTGCCATAACCACGCTTGTATATTAGTTCATTTACTGACTTCAGGTTAGGGTACCTAAAAATATTAAACAGACATAATCAAATTAAGGGCATTGTTTTATATAGCCTACTTACCAAATAAAAGGAAAAAGTATTCTTACCCCCATGCAATATATGGTTCCACAATTCTCAGCATGTTAACTGAAGCCTTGTTGAGCTTAACAAAGGTGCCATTGAAGATCTGGCGAAGACGAAGAAGCTGCAACACCTTACGGACCTTTGGGCTCACACCATTGATACTGCAGTATAAAAGGATCAAAAAAATTTTTATCTGGATTTTAATCAGAATTTTTTTGGGAACCAAGCAAACACCATGTAGCTGAGCTGCATCCCCAGCACCCAGAATTTTTATTAATGATGAACCAAAAAAACCTAAATCCAACCCAGTAAATTAAGAACGCTTTACAAAAACTCAAGGCCATTGGTGTTTGGCTTTCCTTTAACCTAGTCAAATGTGTACCTCCAACTTGCCTCCTCTTGAAGATTCCTTTTACCATTTCCCACTTTGGAACAATTCGTCATTAAAACAAAGTATACTTTAACCTCTGAAAACTGCAGGACACTGAACCACTGAACCTGTGTTTAATTACAGAATGCACGGGAACTTGAACACAGGGCCTGCCACTGAACCCTGAAAATAACAACTGCTCCTCTTTCTAGCTACATATAAATATTGTAGTCCAAACATTTTGGAATCAGTGCTCCTAAAATTAACAAATCTCTACAGATTTCTAATTTTTCCTTTAAAACCAGAATACAGGGCTGAGGATTTAGCTCAGCACCCTAAGTGCCTGCCTGGCAGGCACAAGGTAGTGAGTTCGCTTCCCGATACCAAAATAAATAAATAAATAAATACACAAAACCACAATATGGTTAAGAACTGAACTTACCCCCTGATCCGGATGACAAATGCCAATTTCGGCTCTGCAGGTACATAGAAGTTGCCAGCTTTCCTTGCCATCCTAGCCATTCGAATCTCAGTTCTGTACATCTGTCTGTACTCTTTATGATAGTGCCTGGCTTTTTCATAGATGAGCTTCCTCCTTGCCTTTCGAAGCTAAAAACGATATCCCAATTATTCATAATTTTTAGCTCAACACAAATAGTAACCCCAGTTCCTGAATCTTTCCCTAAAACTTTCTCTTGCACAGCAGATAACATTCCCAAAGATGTGTTCATCTGAAACTCAGCACAATAGTGAGTTAAGTCTTGCGTTAAGAATTTTGCCTTCACTCTCACTCCCAACCCCCAAGGTTTGCATAGGTGCAAGTACCTCCAAAGTTTACTTACCATCTTCTGGGCAAACTTCTTTCTCAGGCGCTTTACCTTCAGCTCTGCGAAACGTCTTCGCTTTTTCTTAAGGGTTTCTGGCACAGCGGGAACTTTCTTTTTCTTCTCTCTATAGCAAGCAATGTCATCAACAGCTCAAAACTTTCCAGAGCTGTAATTACGATCACTTTGTCCTGAAAACTATTTTAACTGAACTAGCGTCACCACGTCTAGCCACTGATGTGCTTGCTGCTGTAACACACTTGAGTGTAAGATGCCGGAAATCTGTGATTCTCTCCATGCCACTCTATCTTTCACTTCCAACACACACCATTTTACTTAAGTGGCAACCATAAACGTGACGTTAACCACACATCTATTATAACTTATATCCCTGCCTCTACCAGCTAATGGAAAACATCTAGGGCGCTGACAATTTAGAAAATTACTAAAAAGTACTGACTTTTAAAGGGCCTGGAAACCTCTTAAAATTAAAACCAAACCAACCACCACTCCGGCTCAGGTCTCAAGCTCCACATGTTGAAAGCAACTGCTTGCTGGCAGAAACCTGGGCCAAGCGCTAGCCAAAGCCGAACGTAATTTAAACGTTCTGCGCCTCCCTGGAAAGATCTTCCACTGAGGACGTCACCCAACCGGCCGGTTTGGCACATATTCTGCTTCAAGCCTCGTTCCTATTATTTCCAGAACCTCCGCCCCAAGACTACCAGTAGCTCATCCTAGCCAGGGGTCCTTACTGATGTCAGAAAGCGTCACAAACACATAGATAAGTGAGCCAAGGTATATGATGGGGTGAAAATGAAACAAAAGGCCTCTATTACAGAGGATGGAGAAGGATCCTGCAAACAACTAAAAGCAACTTACTCGGCACCCTCCATGGTTCCAGCCGGAAAAGAGGAAGTTAGCGCATGCGCACTGTCCACTTAAAGACTGCGCGTGTAAGGCCCCACGACTTATAGCTGTCCTAAGAAAAGCCAGAAAAGTGCCTACAATTAAGAACTCGCTTCGCAGATGTAAAATTAAGAACTGCTTGACTTAGTCTGTTTCAATGGACTTCTGGGTAAAATTTATTATGGGAAAAATAAATGCATCGATTACACTTTAACTACCGACTCCTCCTTGGGGACTCCGTGGGGGTCCTAATCCCTATGCTGCGTTGACAGGTTGTAATTTGATCAAATGAGCGTCTCGCGGGTGTGAACTACAAATCCCGACATTCCTCACTCTACTGCCCATCTGGCGGGAGGAATAAGCTCGGCCCACGCTATCGGCAACCACGGCGCTGGTGACTCCAGTCTGGAACATGAGCTTTTGGAAACATGCCCCGAGCGGGTAGTTGTGATTCGAACTCAAAGTCTGTTTTGGCTTTCTCCCGGCTCTCTGCCCCCGGTAGTCACAGTCGGCCGCACCCCTTTGCCGCGCGGTCGAGGTCCCTCTCGTCACGCCGCCAGCCTGCGGGGCTGTCTTTTGCAGCGCCTGATCGCAGGCCAAGCAGTCCCGAGTCGCCTGGCTAACCAAAGTGGAGACACAGGGAAGTGCGAGGACAGGACGTCCAGAGGAGGATAGCCAGGGCTCCACCGACCTCAGGGCCTCGCAGGTGGAGGCAGGGACAACCCATGCAGGGGGTGTGAGCTGCGAAGGGAGGTGAGACAAGGGCTGGAGACTAGGACCACGGTTCTGTTCGAGGGGCTGCCCCGCGCGGCTCAGGGCCGGCGGGCGGGCGAGCGGGGGGCGGGGGTCGGGGGCTGGGCTGGGGGCGGGGTGCGCCCGGGGGCGGGGAGGGCCGAGCGGAGGGAGGGCCGCTGCCGATGCCGCCGCCGGCTCTTCCCGGTCGCGGGTTATATAGTGCAGAGCGTGGAGCTCGCTCAGAGCCGGCCCGGAGCGCTCCGACTGACGAGCGGCGCCCCGCCGCGGAGCCCGGTGCCCGAGTGACAGCAGCGGAGCGCGCAGCGCAGGGCCGCCCGAGCCCAGCGGGGCAACTGCAAGCCGTTGGGCAGCGCTCGTCCGCGCCGAGCGGGTCACCCCTTCCCGGCTCCCCGCCGCCCCGCACCCCACTCTCTCACCCTGTCGCAACTTGGGTCAAGTTGACAACTCCTGCGGCGGCCAGCCGGCCCGTGCGGGCTCCGCCGCCGACCCCTGCCCCGGGGTGAGAGGGAGCAGCGGCGCGGGCTCCGCGGACGCTCGCTCAGGCGAAGGCGGCTTGGCCATGAGGGCGGCGCGCGGCGCCTAACTCGCGGCTGTCACCGCCGCTGCAGCGGGACCGGGACCGGGACCGGGACTGGGACGGGCGGGCGGGCGCTCGGGACAGGCGCGCGGAGCTCGGGCAGGGTGGCCCTGCGCAAGCGGGGCGCGGCGTAGCGCACTCCAGCCGGGCGGGCACCTCGGGCGCGGGCGCGGGGCGCAGGCTTCTCGTCCCAGCCGCGGTGACAGTCGCCCCGGAGCTCCGATCTAGGCTGCCTGGCGCGGGGTGGGCAAGGACACGAGTGCGGAGCTCGCGCGGAGCCCCCCGGCGTCGCGATGAACATCGTGGTGGAGTTCTTCGTGGTCGCTTTCAAAGTGCTCTGGGCGTTCGTGCTGGCCGCTGCGCGCTGGCTGGTGCGGCCCAAGGAGAAGAGCGTGGCCGGCCAGGTGTGCCTCATCACGGGCGCCGGCAGC